GGAGATCCGCCGCGGGGTCGGGGCTGGGCTCGGAGCGAAGCCGGGGTTTGCGTGCTGGCTGCAGCAGCTGTGAAGGGGAAAAAAAAATGTCATTGATGTTTTTCACGGTACCAGCAGGGAGAAATGGGGAAAAACCTGACCAACCGTGCTCAGGGTGGTGTTGTTTTGTTCCTGAGAAGCGTGGATGCCAGCCTGTGCCGTTGGCTCGGCACCTGCCCTTCCCCGTCTGATACTGGCTGTGTTTTTCCTCCTGGGAATCACTTACTTCAGTCATCGTAATAATTTTTTGGAGCTGGTGTGACAGCATAGCAGGAGCTGAGGATAACTTACCAGTGTGGAATTCCTGTGCCCAGCTGCCAAGTGGGTAGCAGCCTGGTAGCATCCTGAAATGAGCTTTCCTAGAAGGCTAATTTTTTTTTTTCCCCCAGACAATTGGAGCAGACTGTTCTTCCTAGATAGCTGGTTCTCAGTGCACATGTTCCTTCATGAAAATAGGATTTTTATTTATTTTTTTAAGTGACAGAAGCAACAGGATCTTATTACACAACTTGATGTCTACCAAAAACCAAGTGAGTTTCACCTAGGTAGGGATTTATCTGTTGTTGTCCTCTTCTGCTATGTGAAAACATGGTGCTTCTGGAAGATAAATGCCAAAGTGAAGGCCAAGTTGTTTATTGTAGAATTAACTTGCATTAAAAATGATGTGGTATATGGCAGCGAGCTTGTTTTGAATGATGTATCCGTTGGATGTACCTCAGATCTTGGAACATCCCAGTAGATTAATGTAGCTGGATACTTCTGCCTGTTCAGACACTGGGCTTTCCATCCTGTACTTATGGGGATCATAAGGTTTGTGACCTATGTAAGCATTTCTCTCCCACCCCAAGGTGTTGCCCATGAAGAACTGTGATATCCATCGATCTGAACGAGGACTGATAAATGAAGGGCTGAGATTTTTTGCATTCTCATTTGTTTATTTTTTTTCCCTCTACTAGTCACAATAGGAAATGCAAGAAATTCCATGCTAGGTAAATATAAAGAATAATGGTAGCATAGTAGCTGCTGGGTAGCTCATTTTGCTATCAGGCAGGGCTGTAATTCCGTTTGAGAATAGGCACGTTGTTTTCTGAGTGGTATTTTTCAGCCATTGAGTTAACAAAAGTTAACATGCAAAACTTAAAATGTTCTGAGCATATGGACATATTCCTTTAAATGCCTGAGGGATTTACAGCACTCTCCAGTACCTGTATGAATTCCACTTTTATCCAATCAGTAGATATGTGCATATCATAAACAGCAAGTTACCTGCAAAAGAACACTTGGCTGTAAAATAGAAATACTCAGCTCTGCTACAGCCACAGTTGTGTTCCTGAGCGCTGCCAGTTGCACGCTTGGTGTTTGACATCAGTAGACACGCTCAGCTGCTTCATAGTTCCTGCTGGGTTGCACAATACCATGTGTATTTTGGAAGCTTCCCCTCATAGCAGAGGAGCCTGGAGGCTGTGTAGTGTCTGCTTGTCATTCCTGGCTGGAAATGGCCATAGGGCTGAAATGTGATTAGGTCACCAAAGCGTGCTTCCAAACAAGGCAAAATCAATTTGCTGATCTTCTTGACCTGAGTCTGTAAATACAGAAGATGGATCAGGATGATGATGGACTTGTGGTCTAATCTGGGAGACTGGGTGAGAAAGATGTTTGTCAGCTTTGCCCAGCGTAGTACACACGTGTTAATGTGCATGGTGCAGAACATGTCAAAGATGGGCTGCTCTAGTAAGATATATTGATGACTAATAATGGTTTTAGTTGAATCAGTTTTGCAATTGACCATCATTATAGATGATGATTATTTTTTTTTTCCATCAACTTGTGGAGAAAAACAATCTTTATTTTAAGAAGAATGCATGCATGCATGATAAAAATTATGTATCAGTAAAAAGTGCAAGTTCAAAGAGGTCTCTGCATCCGCTGGGGGATGAAAACAGTTGAATCATGTGTACACCAGTTAAATAATACGTATGTATTTTGTAGCATGTACTATAAATGGAGGAGATGGAGGCTATGTTGCTATTAGCACTAAGCCAGATGTATAATTCTTTTGAAGGTCTGGAATATCAATGATCCAATTGAAAATGTGTCAGCTGAGATGAGTCATGTGTTAGCCTCATTCAGTGACTAAGAAATGGAACAGCCATCGATGTCCAGGCTGAGTCACAGCTTCTGCGTATTTCCTGAAATAATTTTTGATTGATAACGGTGGAGCAGTTGAAATGGCTGTATTTGTATTGTAATTTGCAGGCCACAGAGCAGTCGTATACATACTGTTCAAAACACTAGGCAAGTAGCTAGCACAAACCAAAGCAGTATTTCAGATAGGATGTGTGAATAAGGAATGGTGTCCTGCAATTACCTCCCTTTATTTTTCTTTCCTCTGTTATAATTATTTCTTCCTTGTTCTGCTGTACATGTGCGTCATGAGGAATGAGGCAGAAGTGACCCTTCCAATTCTGTGACTGTGAGATAACAGCACTTTAAAAAACGAGTTGCAAATAAAATAAATCCTAATTATAGAAGAGTAGTGGACAGTGCATCAGTTTTGTTCTTAAGGGCAATTTTGTTCGTATACTGTCAGTGTTTCTGAGATCTGATAATTTTAAACCTTTACGCTTTTTTTTTTTTTTTTTTTTAGATTTTCAGGCAATTTGGCCAAGGGTAAGAGGAAGGATTTTAAGAATGTAGAACTCATTGGTCCTCTTATTTGATATGTTGTATTTCATTAACTTCGCTAATTAATTTCAGTGGAATCTTACAATGAACTAAGAAAGACAGATCCAAAGCAGCACCTCTCCAAACCAAAGCGCATGATTTGGTGTATTGCAGTTGAGGGTATTGGGCATCCCTGACTGTATGGGACAGAGCAAGGAGAACAAGTTTCCCCAGTCTTTCACCAACTTGATCTGATGGTGAAAGAAGTCTAGAATACAGCTTTCTATCGGCAGGACTTCTTACACTTAAGAAAATAAAAATGCAGCACAGCTAAACCACAAGACTACCTTGTAAGCATTTTATTATTTGGAATTTCTCTTTTATTATCAACATTCCAGTGGCGATGCAGGAGGTGGTCTGAGCCACTGGATAAGTAGCCTTTCCAAAAGCATTTCAAAACTCCCAATTTAATTGCGCCAAACCCATCCCAACCTTCCATATGGTTAATGTTATGAGCTTTGTATGAGCACTTTGGGATTTGTTTGTTTTTATTTGTAATTTTTCTCTGGAGTTATCAAGCTAGATTGTCAAAGCCATGTTTTTGAAAAATAATCTATTATCTTGCTTTTGCAGAGCTAAAGGTTGTGGGTTTAGGTTGCTCTTAAACCCTCCACCACAATTAAAATCATTTACATTTGGTGGAAATTCCCTTTTTTTTTTTTTTTAATCCCCCCCTCCCCAGTGACCTACATCTCATGAATGCTGTCTTGTCTTTGTGCTTACGCTGCGTGTCTGCTCTATCTTTTTGTTTGTTGGATCTGTTCAATCTGTTTGTGTCTTGATTAATATCTGACTAAAGCCCCATCTCATAAGTACTTGTGCATATCAGTAACTTAATGTATCCAAGCAGTTACTGGTATCATATGCATGAGTAGGACTGGAGCTGGGGGAGTTAGTACATAACAATAAATACAGGGCTGTGTTTTGGAACAGTGGATCAATGCTGAAGCATATTTTGGATAGTTAGGAGTTTTAGAAGTTTTAACTATATGTATGGCATTTGTGCCAGTCATCAGTATATGCATGTAGCAGATAATCACAGTGCCTCTTTGGGTTGGTGCTTTGGTTGTGGGTTTTTATGTTTGTTTGTTTGTTTTTGTGACTGCCTAGAAAACCACAGATTTTTATTTAATAAAATTAGATAGCATATAAAACACAATGCAAAGATGCTTCGAGATTTTTTGTAAAACTGACCATATAGGGGAAGACCTGTATTTTTTCTGAGCAGCAACCCTGAGCGCTCCAAAGACCTAAATAACCTTTGCAAAACTGTACAAAAGTGATCCAAGAGGAAAAGTTTTAAAACAACAGCCTATCTGATACCTAATAAGTTCATGTCAAAGTTCGAACTCCTGCCTGGGACAAACACCAGCTTCATTCCTGGAGTCATGACAGAGCTTAGGACAGTTACGTCAGGTTGCTCTTGGCCCAAGACATCTGTAGTGTTTGGGTTTTTCTTCTTAAATTGAACTGAGTTTACTTACCAGTTAGTATTGCATTCACAGAAATCATAATGTTTCACTGTATTGAATTTTCAGACGGCCTTTGTGAATTTCTACATGTGACTGCTGAACAGTCTTGCAAGCTGTGGGGCTGATGACAGATGTGGTTGCCTTGCGTGTGTACTCTTCTGCCCGGGGCCTGTACAGCACAGTGTAGAGTCAGTCTGTTCCACACATGAAGAATGTGAATGTCTGCTGGGTCCCTTTTATGCTGCGAAGCCCAGTTTTTTAATGCTGCCCTGAATTTTTCTGGCTTTCCCATCACTCAGGTCAAATTTTCCTCCTCTGCTTTGATGTACGGTAATAATCTTGATTTTTTTTTTTTTCTTTCCCGTGTTTTACAGTGGTTTGAACTTTATTGATTTGATGGTGCGACAGGGGAATATCGACAACCCTCCTAAGACACCATTGGTTCCTGGGTTTGAATGCTCTGGAATTGTAGAAGCTCTTGGAGATAGTGTCAAAGGATTTGAGGTAATATTTTCTTTATTTTCAGAGCAAGACTAAAGAACTACCAGTTCACTGAGTATGTTGTCCATAATCCCTTCTGGTTTGCCAGCAACAGCAGCCTTCACCACCCTACTGAGATTTGAAAGGGCAATTTTTCCTTGCTGCTTCCCAAGCATGAGAATGACCTCTTGAATTAGTTTCCAAAGCCAATGCTGTCATCTCCTTCACATCCTTCCTGAAAAGTCACTTTGCCATGTGTGTATCCTGACGGCTAAATAGGAACTCGAGAGCATGACTGATGTGCTTTAAGAAAGTAAAATAAATTGAGTTAACTTGTTAAGTTTCTTTTCTTGGCCATGTTTGCTGTCGCTGTTGCTCTGTTCCTCAAAGCCCATGCACTGCTGATTCTAGTTCCAGCTTGTGATCTTGAGTTAATGAGACCTCCATCTACAATAAGCATTGCTTCTTACAACCACGTGCATTCATGAGACACAGATAAAACTGGTACACTGATCCTAGGTATATGACTTATTCTGATCACTTGGGGAAAGGATGTATTTCACCCAGCAGAATCGTGATAAATGACAAATAGTTAATGTATATAATAAAACTTTCATAACTGGTTGGCATTATGTACTCTTCGGTATCTCTTAGTACATACAAACAGCATTCTCTCATACCTCCTATGCCATTATCGATGTTAAACATCTATATTCCCTCCAATCTTGTACTTTTATTTTCTAAGTAGATAGAAAAATTCTGAAAAAAACCTGAGTTAATGCATGTCAATCCTATCTCAGCTATTTGCTGAGTCAGTCATGTCATCAAGTAATTGCATTTTCTGAATTCTTACTGTATCTTGATCTTAAGAAGGCAATTACCTAAAATACTTTTATTTAAAGGTAACTTTTTTGCTCTTTTAGAAGAGCTGTAAAATTTCTCAGTTGAGTGAAGATAATGGCCAATTTAGTTTCTAGTAGGGTCTCAGTGATGAGCTCTTAGGACATTTGTCTGCATTCCGCCTCCTGCCCCATCTCTGCCTTGAAGCAAGTCATAATCTTCCAGTGTGTTTTGTGACAAACAGTAACTGAACAATAACTTTGTGGTTTCAAAAACTCTACTGGTTCAGTTGTTCTGCTCTAGTATCCGCTTTATAGTTGTGCTCCATATCAAAGAATATCCTGAGAAAGGAGCATAGAAAGTCTCTGCTCTAGATCAGCGTTCTCAGTTTAAAAGTTCTTGCTATTTTTAAAGGGCATTGTGAGGATACAGCATATGGTGCATGTTTGAATAACACTGCACCTGACTGAATATACTGGGTCTCACTGTCTTTGGTCTCACTATAGAACGTGCTTGTGCTCTGGTGTACTCCCTGAAACTGAAACAAGCTGGGGTATTTTATTTTTTGCATATAATCTCCCTATCCCTGGTAGTGTTTGAGTGATCTAGAAGAAGACTCAACACTTGGAATAACTGCTGTGCACAGGTATGAACCCATCAACAGGAGATGTGCCATGAGGAAGATGCAAGAACATGCTGTCACTTTCTTTAGGGATTTCTTGCACAGAAGAGGAGCACGCCAGATGATGCTTGTCTCCTTGACATACGCTGCCACCCTGTCCATAGTGATGGCAGGAATGGCAAAGATTGCACCCTACATCTTCTGACATTCTTCCCTTTGTAAGATCTCTTCTAGTTCAAGTCACGTTAAAGTTGTGAGCATATCTACCTGAGATACTACACCTGAGATGTTGCCAGCCATTTATCATCTTCATTAGCTGTGATTGCATTATCGTATGACAAATGACAGCATTGAATGGCAGCCCATTTTGACAGCAATGTGTAAGAACATATTTGACATTGGAAGAAAGCTTCTTTTATGGAATAATGGTGTAATGCCTGTTCCTTCTGCCATTAAAAGAAAAAGCTGATTTCTACTGAGCTGAAATGTGTTTATGGTAAATTATGGTATTTATTATTACTAAGAAATCCCTTGGGAATCACCAAGAGGGAACGTGCGTTCTTTTTGGTAATCATTTATGTTTGTTTGCAAGGATTTAGGACATATTAACATCTTTGCTAATTAATCTTAGCAGACTTTAGATTTTAGCTGCTTCTCCAACAGCAAAAGGGAACCACAGAGTGGTTACCAGTGAGGCATTGTTAATTTGAATGTATTTTTTCAAAAGGAGGAGGCATTTTGGTGAAATTGGAATGACAGTTCTGTTTCAGCTTCTTCATTCCCTGAGACAAACCCTTCAGATCTGTCAGCAGCACCTTAGCTTTTAGCAAACCCGCAATATCCCAAAGCCAAAGTGATGACAAGTACTTGGGAGACCAAAATGTGCTTGTGCTATAAATGTTTGTCCGAAGGTATAAGTGTTGTGCTTTACTCCATTGCTGTGGGATATAGTTGAAATTGTCTAAGAACAACCTGTAGTATTTCTGAAGCATTCATGGATATTAGTAGAACATAAGATAGAGAATATCAGGCAGATCAGCAGAGGTATTTTAGAGGGGTAGTTTCTGTTAGCTGTAGTTAAAACATGAAGTCCTGAGGTTTGATGCTGTTCCTGCCTTATTACTTATATTGTGGCTCTGCTGCGGAGCTCCTTTCGTGGTTAAGGATTCTCTTTCTGTTGGTGTGTTACAGAAAGGCAAAGAGGTCTAAGACACAGTAAAAGATATGTAGGGGCTGCTGGGGACAAACCATTATCAAGAGGTTGTACGAGTTGTGCCTGTGAAGGTTTTAATATATATTGGCCACATGTTTGCTCACTGTGACTCTCCCTAGTAGCCTCAGTAGAGCAATTTCTCCTTGTACATGAGTGCTGCTTCCCAAGTCTGGTTGTACCCCTGCGGGGGCCTCAGAGCTCTGGTTGCCTTGTTGTTATTTGTGTGTATCTGTGGGGAGTCACTATCTCCATTTTAAAAACCTGAGGCTGCAATGGAGACCATTATATAAATGTATGAATTTGATGTGCTTGGACCTCTGAAAGGTTCCTAGGAGCAACCAACTGTATCCAGCATTAACAGAAAATCTCTGTTTCTTCTTTGTTAAATACTCTTTCACTGCTATATATTTTCCAAAGAAATTGAATAGAGAAGTGTTGTTTTCAGAGAGAATATTTCCTTTAAATCCTGTCAGATTCACTTTGTAGGCTTGTAGTGCCTCGGAATCCAGAGGTATATTTTTGATGTTTAAAGTGGCTTATTTGAAGTTGAAGGATCAAATTCTGCTCTGACACATGGCTGTAGAAATGACAATCATGGAAATGTATTGGTAGAATCAGTTATTAGGATAATAAAAACAAAGAATTGGTACAGATGGTGTTATCTTCTAAATGAGTGGTTTTTGAACCCTTTCATGTGCTCTGTCTGGCAGAGTACAAGGCGTCCCCTTCTCAGTACACAGAGAGGAAAAGTAGTTCTAAATTAGTGTGAAGACTGAGAAAGCAAAGTGAAAATTATCTGGGGTGTAGTTTTGTTTATTCCATGCATCTCATCAATATAATGATAATATTTTTCCTCCCGCCCTTTTTTTCTCTAAGCAAATCTCCTGGTTATTAATAAGAATGCTGTTTTCATTGTTTACAGCCCCATTTGTTATTTAGGAGATCTGCTAGCAAAAAATAATCTCTATTAGTGATGATGGAAGACTGCTTCATCAGAGAAACAGTGCAGCAAAAAATAGGAGGTGGCTTTAACTTTGTTTGGATATTTCTGTTGAATTCAAGTTTCTAATTAAATACAATTAAAAATGGTAGAAGCCCAAAGCTGAGCAGCTCAACTGGTATTTTGCCAAAGATGTGGAGCACCATTATCTTCAGTCAGTGATCCACAGCTTGAACAAGAGAGTTGCAGGTCTTACAAGTTGCTCTCTGCGTTCTCGGTTGCAGCCATATCCTCAACATTGTTTTCTTCCTTGTTTGTAGATTGGCGACAGAGTCATGGCTTTTGTAAACTACAATGCATGGGCTGAAGTCGTATGTACCCCAGTAGAATTTGTCTACAAGATCCCAGATGACATGAGTTTTTCTGAAGCTGCTGCGTTTCCCATGAACTTTGTAACTGCCTACATGATGCTCTTTGAAGTTGCTAACCTAAGAGAAGGCATGTCTGTGCTGGTTCACTCGGCAGGAGGTGGGGTGGTAAGTTGGAACTTTTCTTACTTTCCTGTCACCAGGTGACTGAAGCAGTCTCATGCATCTCCATTTCTGAAATGAGCCAGACTCCGCAGTTTGATTCGATATCAGACTTCCCTGTGTGAGGGATTGCGGTGGGAGGAACTGCACCTGTTTTCCCATCACAGCACTGGTGTGAATGGTTGTTGGGAGCTTTTGGTGAATTAAAATGGTTGTCAGGAGCTTTTGGTGAATTAAAATGTTCTGACAATAAACTCTACCCAAAAATCCCTAATTGGTTGTCAGAGATCAAGGAGTAAATGTTGTCCCAAACATTGCATTCCTGAACTGATGCACCTTTTACTACTTCTGTGTTAAAGGAAGCTGTAATGAAAGGAATAAATGAATCAAATCCCTGCACAAGGTATTTGTAAGTATTCATAATCCTCCTTGTAGTAAATGGCCCTCTTGGAATACTGCAAGTACTGTGTGTGAGTGTGTGTGATGCTTTCTGTGAAAAACGTTTTTTGGTTTTGTTTTTTTTGTTGTTGCAGAGGGGTAGAAAGCAGTGAAAAGTATTATCATGTTAACCCTGAGGAAAATGTACAAATGCTGAATCTGAGTTAGTGGTGGCTGCTGTGTGTCATGGTTTGGATCATTAGTAAGGAGGTGTTGTGTTGCACGGGCAAAGTGACAGTAGGATGAATTCAGTGGAGTACCAGGCCACACAATGAAATAAAAAGTCAGCATTGTGTGTTACCAATTCCTTGAACTATCTTTCCTGAAAACCTCTCTCCTTTGGAAGATATTTAAGTTTATGCAAAAAGATTAAGATACTGACAGGGTAGTTTGTTTACATTTAAAATTGTGCAGTCCTTTTCCATAGGACAGATTTTATGACCTAAGAACAGTAGCAGATCTCAGCCTTTCAAATTGGAGTGCCTCTTCTGTTCTCCTGTTACGCCTTATTTATGTTAAGTTACTATTCTGTTGTCTGTTGAGGTCTGGTGGGCAGTCCCAAACACCTTATCCCTAATTCTGTGCCCTTAGACCTTCTTTTGGATTCTTGTATAAAAGAAGGCTGTAATCAAAGGAATAAATTCATGAGTTCCCTGTACAAGGTATTTTTGGCTAAGGGTAATCCTGCTTGCAGTAAATGGTCCTCTCGGAATACTTCTGTAAACGAATGGAATTTATAATCGTATTATGCTTTGGCACAATACAACCTAGAGCGTTATGGCTGACGTTATTGTTCTTTAATATTAAATCTTTTCATGTGGAATTTAGGACTGTTAAAGCAACGTGAGGCCACACATCCAGGGGGACTGTATATGCTACAGGAATCAAAGGCTCAGCTTTAGCTGCAAGGCCATTTGCCCAGCTGACACTATTCAGACCCAGGCTGAGCCTACAGAATTAGCAGAACACCCAAAAGCAATTCCTGCGCACATATCTAAAGAAAATGAACTCCTTCTCCTTACAAAGATAAAGCATCCTTGCTAAATTTCTTTTAGTACTTTCTCTGTTTCTCTTTCTAACCTCACTCACCTCTGTTATTTCTTCCTGAAGCACTGTTAATGCCCTACCAAGTCTCATGTAGTCTTCTTTGCTAGTGCCCAACCTCCATGCTGGGCTGTTCCTGTAAGGAGCTGCTGGCTTCCTCTCTTTTGTTGTGGATGCTCAAGGAGCAGCTTTTAACTGGTCCACTGCTGTGGCTGCTTGTGGACCTTCTCTGAGAGAAGCTAAAGGAAAGATGGGTCCTGGTTGGCTGCCAGGAGAACAAGGAGAAACCAGATCTATCACCTGCTAAGTAATTAAATAAAACAGTGTTTCCAAGGGAAAGACCAGAGATGCAGGAAGAACAGCCAGGTTGGCCAGTAACTGGTACAGGTCTGTGTGTGGTCCAGGGGGGACTGTACATAGGAGGGAGACTGGGCTGGCTGGCCTGCAAGACAGGGTGCTGATCACTGTTTCACAGGGGAGAGTGCCTGATGCAGCTTGTTGTTCCTTCTGAGGGAAGAGCATGTATAACTAGAATTGGAAAAGAAAGACTTTTCTGATTGCTTGATAGATCTTACAGGGAAAATATTACTCTGGAGATGCATGGAATTTTTTCCTTTCTGCTGACTAGACCTAAAGATTTCAGAGAGGTCTGTGTTACTCTTTAAACCACTCTAATAATCTGTCTGTTAAGCCTTTGAAAAATTTAACAGCCTGAATTGAACAAATCATTCTCACAAAGTTCTTTGTTAATAAAACAGAAAACTGATGCTGAAATTGCTATGGGAAGAGGTATTTGATGTGCTTTTGCTTTAATAGACAGAAGGCCCATTCCCACTTTCAGCAAGTGGGAAACCTGTCCAGTTTGTTCCTAAATGTCATAGAAATTCTTTACTTTAATGAGACAATAGGCTCCCTGTGGGACTAGAAGTTTGTAATTGTTCCTTTCTCATTATGCAAGATCATTATTTCAGCTGCTTCAGGCAGTTTATAAAAAAGCACTTGTTGCTTCAAAAATGTTTGTGAAGTTCTTTGTTCTGGCTCCCTGGTCCCCTTTAGGAGGATCCTGCAGCTTTTTTCAATAAATTGAGTTAGGGAAAATTCTCTAGAACCTTTACTTGTGTATTGCCTCAATTTATGTGGCCTTATTTTTGTTTATAGATATTTTTGGTAGTGAGGTAACTATAGCGATTGTATTCCCATCTGTGCCTGGGGTATGGTTAGTATGTGACAGTACCTTTCAGTATCTGACAGAATTCTTTAGAGAAGTCACTTTACTTATTTCCATAAGTTTCAGGGGACATCAGAAGATAATGTAGAGAAAAAAGAAATGTACCAAGATAACTTATCTTGAAAAAAGCCTGATGTACCTGTCTCTCTGTTACAGACTTCAATCCCATTCCATATACCTAATTGGTACCTTCCCTGCTGCCAAGTCAGCTAAAAGGTCAGGGCATCACGCGATCTTCCCTGGCCGTGGTAGGAAGTGTGGCGAGTTGTAGGGAAGCACCTTGTCTCTCTGAACCAGGAGGAGAGAGGTGGTCACTCACAAACTCTGCTTCTGACACTGCTGGTATATTGTAGCCTTCCATATGAAAAGGAGGACCTGCTGCAGTGCTCAGAAAGGGGATTTGAAAGGAGAGATTATATTTTGCTTTTGTTTCCTAGAGCTGGCTTGTTGATTTTGATTGTTTGGGAAGGGGGTGGCTTTGGGGGTTGGTTTGGTTTTCCTGTTTCTTTTTCCCTTTGAGATGGGGACAGTTCAGAGAGACTGACTCAGCTCTCAACCTGGACAGTGAAGTAGACTGGTGAAATTTTAAGGGCCTTCTAGGAAAGCATGATACAGGCTCACAGTTGCATTGCGTGATTCAGTCGGTCTCTGAGAAATTAATACCTTGTGAAGCATTCTGTTTTCATTGCTTGAGCTGTTTCTGACTGGGATCTACCAAGGACAACGTTTGTCATCCATTCCCTTTCAGCGCTCTGCTTGTCAGGACGCTTAACACTTCTGCTTAAACCGTTACATTGAGTAGTGGGGCAGTTCGATAATTAACAAAAGATATAATTGTGTAATACAAGTAGAGTTTAAATGCTTAAGGCTATGGAACTGTTTGTGTCCTTGTGAAGTGATTGCTAAAATAAGGAGAAAGTCAGGTAACACTGAATTTCAAAAACTTCCTATTATGCATATGTATAAATTAATGCTCAGAAATAGGAGTTTTCAAGAACAAATGACTTGCTGTAGGGCATATATTGGCCTATTTTAACTGTAAAACACCGTAATTAACATTTGAAATGACAGTAAGACAATGGTAGAGTAGCTCCCTTCACAAATATACTCCCATGTCTTTTTCAAGTGAAGCAAAGGGGTGACTGAAGAAAATACTGAGAAAACTGAGCAGTAGCATGCACCCCGCTGGGATTGATCTGCTGTATGAAGCAATTAGTTCTTTCAAATGAAGACTGTTTAAGTCAGTGCATTCAACAGAAATCACAGCACAGGCTTGTATGAGATTATAAAGTTGATCTTAAAATTATTAATGTCAACTGTATCCTCAGTTAGTTGGATTAGTATAAATATGGGACTGTTGTATTGAAAACAAACAAAAAGGCATAAAAACTTGGGCTCTTCTAGCTTTAATAAATCCAGTCTCTATCTCTGTTATCTACCTGGAAAATAAATTCCTTCAGGGATTTAGATTTGTCAGAGACAGCCATTATCTCTGTTTCCTTGTTTGCTCTTCATGTACTTCCTACTCTGAATATTCAGAGTACAAAATTTGGTGATTTACCAAGATTGTTTAAACGCCTTAGTTTCATCACTGAGCCCCTCATATGCAAGGCAGACTTATTAGCCAATTCTTTAGCATTTTGGTCTTCCAGATGCTAAAATTAAGCTGCCTTTCATGGAGGAGCATTGATTGCTATCCTGAAGCTGTGATCTGACCTTCCTTTTCAGGCTCAGCAGCAGAGAAAGTGCAAGCAGAGTAAGTTGCAGATGCAGCTCTCGTGTTTGAATTTGAAGGGTAAATCTGACTTGGCAACAGATTTAGGTCATCCTGGCAGGATTGGTTACTGCTTGGCAGGAACCCTCTTTTTTATTGTGTCTCCTCTGCATAAATTGCAAATATTTGAGGATGTATTCCAAACTGAATCACTGAAGTGGTGATATTTTAGCTGACAAAGAACTGGCACTCCTTAGTAAATCTAGTCACCCACTGTCACAGGCAGCATATAAGAAACCTTTCAAGAGAATTATCAGATTTCTTCTTTAAAAAATACTCATGTGTTTATCCATTCAAGTTATTTCTGCTCTGTCTTGCCTGGTGAGAAATCTTTCTCAATTTCCAGACTTTATTTGTGATCAGTTAATGTATCTTTGTTCTTCTACTGGTGTTCATTACATAAAATTATCTATTCTGTCCTCTTGGGGTACTTCTTTCAGATATTTTTGGTAACGTGTTTATGGCTAGAACAAGCTCAGAATCAAATCTCTCCTTGGCCTGTATTTTTTCAGGCTGAAAGCA